TACCTGTTACCATCAGAGAGAACAATTCATAAATAAGGATATGTATGCTGAGTTTAGGAAGCTTTTAAAGGAAGAAAAAGAGAAGTGGAATAGTCTAAGGCGGGTTTAAAGTTCCTGATCTGCAGACTTCAGATGTATTCCCATTTAGCTAAATTTCCAGAATATCTTACCCAAATTCTAATAAAGAGTTTCATTTTGTGCAAATATCCTACCATTCCAGAAAACATTCTCTTACAAATGTTTAAATATGTCAGTTAACTTTGTTTTGCTATTAATAAATTGTATTAAAAGATAATCTTGTATTTAGAATTGCAAATATTAATGTTGTGATTCCCCGTCCCTTCCTTTCATTTCCCTTTCTTTTCTTCCCTTTCTTTCCTCTCCTTCCCTTCCTGAACAATTTAATTCTAAAGCAATTTGGAGGCCAAAACAAGACAGGTATCCACATTGGCAGGGGAAAGGGGGATGTGCTGTGGTAGCCCAGAGCAAGCTATCTGAACTCTACCCGATGAGGAGGGTGTCTATGTGACACCACAGGTGTCAGAATCTAAGGGAATGAGAATGGTATCCACCTGTGGCCCAGGGTGGGGAGGCCGTTCAGGGAGGTGAGGAGGTAGGCTGTGGCCTGGTATGGGAAGTCAGAGCCCAAGGAGAGGTATTGAGGGTGTTCCTGCAGAATGGGCAGCCTGGCATAGGGTGTCAGAGCCTAAGCTGGATGAGAAGGGCATCCACATAGAAAAGAGGCTGGCAGCAGGTAGGAGAGATTGGTTGCCTGAAAAGATTGATCAATAAGTACATATGTTAAGGATAATAACAGCTAGGTTTTCCACTGTTGGAGATGGTAATTGTAATATGCAAAGAGAGAAAACTAGAATGTTTGGAATTCAAATTAGGGGTATCAGTGTGAACTTGTGGTTTTAAATACATAGAGGTCATGAGAAGACTGAGGAACATTGTAAACTAAAGAGGACTAAGGACACATAAGTGTAAACGTAATGTGTGATACTGAGCTAGATCATTTTGCTATAAAGGGCATTGTTGGTTCAGTTGATGAAACTTGAATAGAGTCTGAGGATTAGATAGGAACAATGTATCAGTGCCAATTTCCTGATTCTGATGGTTATATAGGAGAATGTTTTTGTTTTTAGTCAATACACACTAAAGTATTCAAGGATGATGGGGCATCAGTTAAGTAAGCAACTTATTTTCAGGTGATTCAGGAAAAAAAAATTTGTAAAGCATTTGAAACTTCTAAAGTTTATAATTGTTTTGAAAATTTTTAAAAATACATTTAGTAAAAAATAATGCTGTGGAATAAAATTTCGATTTTATCTCCTTGATTTTGAATTATATTATTTAAATTCATTAAAAATTAAGTTGTATTCTCTCGCATTTTTTGCAGGATTATTGGCCAAGGGAAATCCACTTTGGAGATAATGATAAATGGTTATATACTCTGAAGAAAATAAAAGAAGATAGTTCATTAAGTTCAATTTGTTCACATCTGTGGGGAAATGTCCCACGAATAGATAATGGAATCATGATCATGGAGTCACGATTAGAAGAATATTCAATTCTTTTGAAAAACCATGCCTCTAAAATATTTGAGTGGGACAGTGTAATTTCCAGGACAAGTAAACTTTATTTTTTATATGAGTAAATTAATGGTCAGTTGTGTGTGTGTGTGTGTGTGTGTGTGTGTGTGTGTGTGTCTGTCTGTCTCTGTGTAAGTATTCTCATAAAGAATGAAATCCTAAGGTATAAAATATCTAAAAACATGTATTTTATTTTAAGACCTTTTCATTTCTAAATAGTCCAATACAGATTTTTAGTTGAACATGAACATGTGGATTCAAAGAAAGTGTTGCTAGGACAAAGCCTAAAATAGCGTCAACTTTGTTAAGGTGGAGCAGAGGTAGCCAAATATCAGTGAAACAGGGTTGCATCAGCTGATATTGGTTCTAGAGACAAGCAAATCAGCAAGGGTCAGGATATAAGAAGGGAAGTACCTAAGACCTAAAGTAAAAGGGGTGAGAGTTGACCTACATGAGCTAGGTTAGCTCGTAGAAAGTATTTAGCATTCAATATTGTATAACTGCAGGTGGAATGAAAAGCATATCTGCAAGTAATGATAGCTGTTACTTCTTTCAATATTTGTGTAACTTTTTTCTTATCTAATTGTATTTATTAACACTTCCAAAATAGATAGTAATGGTGATTCTTGTCATAGTCTTGATTTAATAGGTAAACATTATATATAAGCCTTAATGATGATGATATTGGTTGTATTTATAAAGTATTTTCTATGTATTAAATAAATTTACTTATATTATTTAGATATTTAATATCTTTTTTTGGGGCCTTGATTTTTCAAATTCTAAGACTGTGTTAAGATACACTACTGTTAACGTCACTACTGTTTTACCTTAAATTTTCTTATTGAATTTTTAATTATTTTTTAATTTTAAAAAATATTTTTGAAATTATACAAACTATATATATAGCTTATATATGTATCTATATAGAGAGTATATATAAAGTAACCGTGAAGCAACCAAATGTAAGTGGCTGAGCTATTTGAAAAACATGGGCTTGTTCAGTAGGAAGGGATTAAGGTAAAACTTTAGATATAGGAGTAAATACTAAAGACCTATTAGTTGGAACTTGACATTTCTAAAAAACAAAAGGAAACAGGAGATATGATAGGTATTTATTCATTCAAGTAAGAATGTGTGTATCTAGCATTATGCTAACCAAAAAGCTAGTTGATCTCATTGAATAGTTTCATATATAATTTCTTTTTTTTTTTTTTTACTGTTAAAGGCTGTGTGTATATATATATGTATGTATGTTGTGAATTATTTTTTTTTAAGGTTCTCAAGGAAAATTGGAAAGACACAAGGCATTTCTAAGGAAGTATCATAAGAAAAAGAAGATAATGGTATGGTATTTCTTTTCATCTTCCTTGAAAAATTATATTTTCACAGATAATATAATTCCATAGATAAGCACTGATAACATTTTTTGAAATTTTCTTTTAGTCTTTTATCATCTGTCTGTCTATCTCTGTGTTTTTAAAATAGCTGGACTCATATTCTACTTTACACACTTAGTATTAGAGTGTTGGCATTTTCACATCACTGCAAGTTACTTGAAGACTTATTTTAATGTATATATTCCATCCTCTGGTTGTTTAATAGTTTATAACATGTTATACTTAGTAGTACAGGTCCCATATCAGTCCTCTTCCTTTAGAAAAAATTAACAATTCTTTTTGATTACCTTTAGAATGACTTTGTAAATTAAAAAAAAAAATCTCTTTGAGAGTTTGATTAGAATTATAATAGACTTTTGAATTACTTTGAGAAACTTAGTCTTTTTCAAAAATGCATTCTAAAATTATACAATATTAAAGCTATAAAAACTTTAAGTGCCACTAGTCCATACATCTCATTAAATGTTATTTTCAAATTTTAAAATTACTTTTATTGTTTTTTCCTGATTATGACTTAGTCATTTTAGAAAATTAAAATAGATAACACTAAAAGGATAAGCATCCTAATTCTAGCACCAATAGATACACCACATATATCTCACTACTTAATTGTCATTTTAATTTTTCTTTTATTTAAAATATTTTTTAGAAAATTCAGATTAAATTATGTATTTCTAATTCATTAAATGTCGTATGGAATTTTCATCAGTAAATATTCTTCTGTACCATTTTAAAAATAAACTAATGTAATAGCCCTCTTGTTGGACACTTAAGTTAGTTTTCATTATTCACTACTATTTACAAAGCTGCTGTGAACATATTTGGAGCTAAAGATAGTGCTTACCCATGATTATTTCCTAAGACAGATTTCCAGAAGTGGAACCACATGGGAAAAGAAATGTGAGAATCTAAGTACTTTGGTACATATTGCCAAATTATTCTCTAAAAAGGTGGTACCAATTTATATTTGGAACAATAGAGTTTGTGATTGATCTCGTACTCATTTCCTTGTCAACATTTAATGTTACATTTTTTAATGTTTGCAAAGTTTTAGGTATAAATGTAATCAATTGCAGACATTTTACAATGAAGTTGATTTTTTAGGTTTTTATTAGCCTTTGTCTTTCTATAATTGTGAATCGCCTATTTATGAACTTTGGCCGTTTTTTTACTTTTCTTTTTTTATTTCTAAGAGCTATTTACATTTTAAAAATATTAACCCTTCTCAGTAACATCCATTATACACATACCACTTTCTTTGTTTCCTTTTAACCCAAAAGTATTTTTTTTGCTATATAGAATTTTATATTTTCATGGATCTATAATTTTCTATGTAAATTGTCTGCCTTTAGTGCCACAATATTTAAGAAGGCTTTCTTCATCACAAGATCATACATATATTCACCTTTATTCTCTAGTTTTGTTCCTACAGATTAATATTTTTGTGGTTAATTCTTTAATTCATTTAGTGTTTATTTTCGTGTAAGAAAGTAAAACCAAGGATCTTATTTTAGATCCACCAGTAAATTGGTGTGATTTTCTACATATAAGTTCTATACATTCCTTGTTAAATTTATTCCTAGGTATCTTAAATTTTTATTACTAATTAGTATTAATTATTAGTAATTTTTATTACTAATTAATGACATTGGTTTTCCACCATGCTATTAAATGGATTATGGTTGGTATATAGGAGATTATTGGGATATGGGTATTAGTCAACAGTTATTCACTGGGAACCCAAACTGCAATAAGTAGTTAGTTTATATTTCTGTTATAGTCCTATCTCTTTGTGTTTTGTTTGTATATGTATCTGAGTCCCCTCTTGAGCTATGACCAGCTTGAGGGCAAGGACCATATTTGTATTCCCAGCATCTAAAACAGCAACAGCAATCTAGGCCTCAGTAGGAGATACAGACACAGACACATGTTAACTGAACAAATTTACAAAATTCTTTAATTTAGAATTTTAAAGATTTTATTTTAAATGTTTTCCAGCTTTCAGATGAAATGAAGACAAAGAAGAATATAGAGGTATTCAAAATTTCTGTTCTACGAGATTATGTATCAGAAGTATTATGTGGCAATAAAAGAATGTTTACAATAATATAGTTGTAGCTAGAAACATAGATAGGGCCCCCAGGAGAGAGAATTGGGAACAGGTATAGAGGCTTCCTGTTTCTGCCTAGTCTATTTTTTTTTTTTTCCGCTGAGGAAGATTAGCCCTGAGCTAACATCTGTTGCCAATCTTCCTCTTTTTTTGCTTGAAGAAGATTAGCCCTGAGCTAACATCTGTGCCAGTCTTCCTCCACTTTGTATGTGGGTCTCTGCCTCAGCATGGCTGACGAATGGTATAAGTCCGTGCCCAGGATCTGAACCTGTGAACCCGGCCCACCTGAAGAAGAGCACACCGAACTTAACCCCTACGCCACAGGGCTGGCCCTGCTTAGTCCACTTCTTTATGTGTAGTCTAGCTAAAATTCTTGATCATTTGAGTTATGTCAAAATTACTTCTGAAATATGATTTTGTTTTGCTTTTGTATTTGGCATATGAATATGCCGGGGCTCTTAATTTTAGGGAAGCAGAAAATATGAAGATTTTTCTTAGATTGGATAAATATTTTTCATTTAATTTAGTAAAAAGAAGTAAAATAATTATGTTAATGCATGATAGTTAAATATTTAGCTGTCTTCTGTAGTGATATGAGGCTACTATACCAAAAAGAGTGACGTCATTACTGTTATGTGATATTTCCCTCTTTCTAGGGTTGCAACTTCTCAGGATTCAAAACAAATGAGCTTACTCAACTACCCAGACATTTGGATGCTGAACGAATTTATCTTTTCATTTTAAAAGCCCATAACTTTCATGTATGTAAACATTATTTTATTTTTATTGTATGATAAATTTTGAGAATATGATTTAATGAATCAGACCTTTATTTAAAGCTGTGACAAATTAGGTGTTAAGCAAGATTGAATCCTTTAGGCATTAAGTCTGGCAGGAAAGACCAGTGATGTTTAACACCCTGATCACCGGAAGACAATGTGTTAGACTTTGTGCTACTGCTTTAGGAGTCTGAGGTTGCTAGTGTGCACTGGCTTGGCATGTGACTATAGCAAGTGTTTTTCCCTGCTCTATCAGTTCAGGATATTTTAGCCGGCTCATTTTGACCCCAAAATAACTTATGAGAGCCCTTCCCCATAACCGCACCTTTTGAGCCTCCAAACATCTGGGGAATTTTTGAGTAGTATCCCTACAGGGTAGCCAATTGATGAAAAACTACAGGCATGGGAAGGGAAGTAGATCATTGGCCATTGATTGCCGGGGCAGGATGAGGGTTGGGTGGTTACCAGTATTGATTTCCCATACACTTATATATTAGGTGGTCACCTAAAAAAGTTTCTATTTCCTGGTGGCTAAAACAATGCTCCTTGTACACCCAAGAAGATTCCTTTTGGACAATTCTCTGAGATGGACTTGGCCCCCAGTAGGCCCTCATCCCCATCCCTCACCCCTCAGCCTTCCTGTGGCTCTTTATTTCTCAACACAAAATCCCAGTTGTTTTCTCTCCTACTATAGTCCTCTACACTCCATCAGAAGGAGCATAATCAATGATTAAACCTGGATGAATGAATTCCAGCTATTATTTTCTGCCCTTTTTTCACTCTCTTCAAGAGGCAGTGTTCCAAGAAGTAGAGTCTGATTGATCTGATTTGGATCTCCTGTTTGCCCCTCAGTTAGGGAACCACAGAGCACTTCAGCTGACAACTCCACCTAGAATGTTTCAGTAATGACACTCTCTCTTATTTTCCATGCTAATAGAGATGTTTTTCAATTCTCTGTTATATTTTACGGGATTTTTGTGAGAGGGAAGCCTCAGTCTGCCCTCTTGATACAATCACCAGATCCCCTTTCATAGAGAAAACCTATAGATGCTAATTGTAGTTACGCCTGGGTCATGAGCATATTTATTCTTTTCTCTGACTATATTTTCCAAGGTTGCCTCAGGGAAAATATTTTATTCTTGTAAAAAAATTAAGGCAACTTATTGTTAAAATAATTTTATAAGTACTATTCTAGATAATGTATAATATGCTTTCTAACTCGAACATTGTGTGTTCTAAGATGGGATTGTATTTTAACCATGGATGCATGTATACCTAACACAAGGCAATCACATAAACAAGATATTGAACTACAGCCTTGAGGAATTTTAGTATGGTTACCTTGGAGGATGCTGACATTATTGAAAGAAATAGGAAAATGAGGAGTGGAAGTAGATACGGTGGGGGTGGGGCAGAATATGACTAGCAGCTGAGTTTAGGATATTTTGAGTTTGTGTACCAATGGTATATCGGGGCATAGATACCCAATGTTTTATTTGTTAGTACCCCTACCTGATTTCAAAAAAGAATTTAAATTTGTTTTCTAGAGCATGTGCAATGCAATGGCATTAAAATAAATACATGATGACATTAAAATGAAGAGAAAATAAGTGTAGGAAAATAAAAATATCAGAGGGAAGTTTATTTCACAGAAATGCTAATAATAACATATAAAGAGACTGAACTTACAGATTTGAAACTTGGAAAGAGAAGGCTAAAGGGCTACTATTCATGCTTGAAGGTGTGGGAATCCATGAAATTGACTGAATTCGCCTAACTCCGTGCAAACACGTTCCTGCACATAGAGTTGTAGATTAAGTTTCTTGATGAGAGAAAGTGTATATTATCTCCTGTACCACTCAGAGCAGAACCTTGGCTATGGATGTGCTTACTAAAAATTTTATTTAATTGAATTGAGTTTAAAAGGGCCTCTATTATGGGTATAAGAGGAGAAAGCTGAGCCACAAACATACTGATATACACAAATAGAAATTCAAGAGAACATTAGAGGTGATTTTGTCCAACCTAGAGTCAATAGTAAGAGAAAAAGTTCCAAGTCACATAATCTATGGGCTTTAAGGTATGTTTACATTTACTTGAATCAAAGAAGTATCACAAAGGGTGGGGTGGGGGGTGGGGAAGAGAACCATTTAAGTTTTTAAGCTGGATTTGGGTTTTTTGGCCAATTTTCATTTTTTGGTTGTCTTGACTAAATATTGATGTTGTATTCACTAAATATTTTTAAAAATATATTTAAATATATTTTTCCTGAAAAACAAGGTTAGTGATACTAAACTTAACCAAAACTTAGAATAAAAGCAATCATGCTGTTAGTTTACACTAAGGAGCGTCTTTGCTTGAAATTTGCAAATAATTTAAACAAAAGTATTCAGCTTTTACTCCTGTATTTCAATTTTCTAATTTTTTCTTTATATACTTTACATATGTTCTTTGTAATTAAGAAGTACTAAATCTAAGTTGAAGCTGTTACCAGTGTCCTCCATACTATACTTAGTGGCCTATGAAAGAGAAGTGCCCCCACAGAATACATGATAAATGATCTTTTGGTATAAAAGTTTGCACGACGTTCTTTTTGTAGACTTGTACTTTAGGAACAGGAATTCATACCTATGAATTTCGTTAAAAGAAATCTTGAACCCCACTGAATCTGGCATTTAGAAACTTTCAGTGACTAAGATAAAATGATCTATTGAATGTACCTATTTAAACCAGGACTTATAGTCTCCAGTAGTCATGATGTTTAGATAGGGTTTAAACTTAGGATGAAGCTCAATGGGAAAACTTTCAGTTATGGTTGGAACAAAATTACAACTATGTATTTTATGAAATCTAAATACCGATCTAGTATTTATGATGAAAATTTAGTGTTCAAATTAAGATGTGTGGTAAGTGTAAAATATATACCATATTTCAAAGACCCAGTACCAAAAAATAATGTAAAATATTTCATTAATAATTTTTGTGACAATTATATGTTGAAATGATAATATTTTAAATATATTTGCTTAAATAAAATGTCATCAAAATTAATTTTACATTTTACTTTTTTAAAGTGACTACTAGAAAATTTAATATTACATACATGGCTCACATTAAATTTCTATTGAACATTGCTAGTCTATAACCATTGAATACATACTCTTTATAAAGCCAATTTACATTAACATGTTTTATAATATATTTTAATTTGATCTCCATGTGTCTTTTTTTTCCGTAGGAAAAAGTTTTTAAAATGTGGAAGACTCATTTTCTCTCAGAAGCATCTATTGCTCTTTTGCATGATTCCTTTTGGTGGTGGTTTCTCCATAAATTTAAGGTATAATAATATTTTTTAAACTTCTTATTTTAAGTTGATTTGCAGCATAATTAATTTTTCAGTAGAGGTAGCAGTGGAACAAAAAATGTTTTTCTGGATCCCTTCATAGAGCTTGATTTTTTAGTATTTCATACTTGTTAGGAATCCTGTTTGAAATCTAGAGTTCTTTCAAAGGAGTTAAGACTTTAATATGGATTTGAAAGATCCTGGGTCTTCATTAATCAGAAAAAGATTAGGGAAATCAAACATTGCAGTGAATAATAAAGCTGTAGCTTTACTTAATACTATAATGTGCTGAAAACCCACTGCAAATCAGTGACATTGAAGGAGGTTTCATTTGGAAGATAGTCTACAGATCAGATGGAGAGAGGGTCTTCATTTGATTCAGAAAGGTATAAATTGTGATTAGGGTTAGAAAGAGAAAGACATGGGCATCTGGGAAACAACAAGAGAATGAAAATAAGCAGCACAGGAGTCTTATGTTAGAGAATACGTGCGCTTGGAAAAAGTGGGGAATACCAATGACTGCTGTGAGGCCTCTGGATCTGGAAGAATGGAAAATACGGCAGCCCAGGGGATCACAGTCAGCATTAAGAAGGTGTGCCGCCCCATCAAGGAAGCCTGAAAATGACGCAACTCTCCAATTTTTCCCAGCTCAAAGTACCCGTAGAAAACTGCTTATGGATTCTCATAGAAATTTCATATCTTGAAGGAATGGGTGTTAACAAATTTTACATACAAACCATTCAGCTAGTGCTTTTTGTTAGAGTAATTAATGTAATTCTAGGTAAGAGCATCTGTCCTGTAGTTCTGGTATTGTTAGGAGCTGAATGAGGCATAGGAAGTGGTGCATCAATTCTACAAAGTAATTAACTAAGGAAATTTGTGAAATCAAGAGAGTTTCATTACCTTAAATTTCTTTCTCTAGATCTGGATCCCGAATTTATGTTTTTCCGTAATAACAGAGAGAAGCATTACTTTCCCACTTAGATCTGTTAGGATTATATATAACAAGTTTTTGTTTGTTTGTTTTATTTATTTATTTAAAGCCCCAGTATATAGTTGTATGTCATAGCTGCACTTCCTTCTAGTTGCTGTATGTGGAACATGGCCTCAGCATGGCCAGAGAAGCGGTGTGTTGGTGCGCGCCCGGGATCCGAACCTGGGCCGCCAGCAGCGGAGCGCGCGCACTTAACCGCTAAGCCACGGGGCCGGCCCCTGTAACAAGTTTTTGAAGGAAACATAATCTAGCAATATTCCTAGTAACTGTTTTTGTCAGGCCGTAATAGCATTTTATTATTTTGAACAAGCACAAATTTGACACAGAAATATTAATGACCCAGTACATTGCTGTACTACACTTTCAGATGAATACAAAACATATAAATTATATCTATTTTAGGGTCTACTTTATGAAGAACAAATAGTACTGATTTTATAACTGGAATATAATAAAACCCTGAGCCACTTATATAATTTAATTACCAATAGTATAATATGAAAAAATATATAATCATACTCTAGAGTATAGCAATGCTTCAGCATCTGGCTCTAAAACTTATTTCAGTAATTGTTATATGATTAATATAAAAGCAAATTTCCTTTACTTATTCCCTATGATTTAGTGGTAGCTTGATCTAGTAGAAAAAATACTGGACTGGAATCCAGAAAACTAAAATTTTAAATCTGGTTTTCCCAGTAGTTAGTGTGAGACTTTGGATTAGTCAAAAAATATCTCTATGCCTCACTTCTCTCATCTCTGAAAAACAAAACAAACAAGAAAAAACAGGTAGAAAATAATATATAACGTGTTTTTTTCCCCTAGGATTGTTGTGTATACTAAAAGTGACATGAATAAGAAGACACCTAGTAAACTGAAATACTATATAAATGTAATAGGGGATTCAATATAATGGAGTTAAGAGAGCTGGCTTTCAAAAACAAGTTTATCTACTTAGTAAATGATGTGACCTTGAATTGTTGTTTACCTCTCCAAGTCTTTCATGAAATAAAAAAATGACCTACCTTATATGTTTTTTGAGGGAGTTAAATGAGAAAATGCATGTAAAGTTGTTTGTTTACATGGAGCTAGATATATAGTAAGTGTTCAGTGGATGCATCTATTATTATTATTATTATTATTTTGATAGAGAGAACACAGTGTTCCAAAAATTGCTGACCAACGTATAGGCTAATGATAAAAGCCATCTTGACAGTGTTTGACTAGAAGAATTTCAGTAATGATATTGCAGTACCCTTAACGTTTTTAAAAATTGCCCTTGGGACTCTAGCTCCCAAAAACATTCTGAAAGCTGGAAAATGCATCACTTCCACCCATACAACAATGAAGAAAAGCCATTTAACCTACAAAATCACAACTTTTTTGAACCCATCATACAGAGCAGATTTCAAAGCAAAGAATGTTACCAGGGAAAAGGAGAGTAATTGTATAGTGATAAAGTGGTCAATTCATCAATATGACATAACAATACTAAATATTTATGCACCTAATAAAAATGCTTTGAAATACATTTAATGAAAACTTTTAAAACTTCAAGGAGAAATAGACAAATCCATAAGCATAGTTAAATATTTCAACACCTCATTCTCAATAACTGGTAGAATATACAGAAAATCAGTAATGATATAAAATGATATAGAAGACTTGAGGAATACTGTCAATCGGCTTGATTGATCTAATTGACATTTATTAAACACTCCTCCCAGCAACAGCAGAATACACATTTTTATCACATACATATTAAACAATTACCAAGTAATTCTGGTCTAGGAAAATATCCTAATAAATTTTAAAAAATTCAAGTCATACCAAGTATGTTTTCAGACTAAAATGGAATTATATTATAAAAGAACAAAAGAAAACTTTTCAGAAAATCCTTACATATTTGGAAACTAAATAACACACTTTTTAGTAACTGTGGGTCAAACCAGAAGTCAATAGGGAAATTGGAAAGTATTTTGAACTTAATGAAAATGAAATACAGGTTAAATTGTGGGATGTAACTCAGGCAGTATTTAGAAATTTAGAGCATTAAAATGCCTATACTAGAAGTAATGAAATTTCTCAAAAACCATGACCCCGGCTTCTGCCGTAAGAAACTAGAAAAAGAGGGGAAAATGAAACCCAAAGTAAGCAGGAGAAAGGAAATAATTAAGATCAGAGAGTAAACCAATAAAAAGAAAAACTGAAAAACAAAGAAAGGATTAGAGAAAATCAAGGAAGCCAAAGGCTGGTTCTTTGAGAATCCTAAAAACATTATAATGCAAGAAGAATTCAAAGCCTGCATTTCACTGAGAGTAGCCATAGCAAAAACAAAACCCAAATACAGCTTAACAGAACTTAATTGATTCAACCCCTTAAAGGATAACAAAAGAAGCATAAATACTCAAGCATATTCTGAAGCATAAATACTATATACTTCAATTTTTATGACCTATTGGAGATGTCCAGCTCTCAAACAGAAATTACAAGAAGCATAAAGAAGGAATGGAATTGCTGCATTTTTGGGTATGAAAATGTTCAGCTTAACAAGACAATGCCACATTATTTCCAAACTGGGTATATAAATTTATACGCCCATCGTTAATCTATAAGAGTTCCTAAACAACCAATGGGTCAAAGAAGAAATCACAAGGGAAATTGTAAAATGCCTTGAGACAAATGAATACAAAAACACAACATACCAAAACTTATGGGATGTAGCAAAATCAGTGCTAAGAGAGAAATTTATAGCTGTAAACACATTAAAAACAATGTCTCAAATCAACAACCTAACTTTACATATTAAGGAACTAGAAAAAGAACAAATTGAACCTCGAGCTAGCAGAAGGTAGGAAATAATAAAGATTAGAGTGGAGATAAATAAAATGGAGAATAGAAAAAGAATAGAAAAAGTCAACAAAACCAAAAGTTCGTTCTTTGAGAAGATCAACAAAATTGACAAGCCTCTAGCTGGATTGACTAAGAAAGAGAGAGGACTTAAATTACTGAAGTCAGAAATAACAGTGGGGATATTACTATACAGAAAGAAATAAAAAGGATTATAAGAGTACTATGAACAAATGTATGACAAAAAATTGGATAACCTGTATTTTTAAATGGACAAATTCCTAGAAACATAATCTTCCAAGACTGAATCATGGAAAAAGAGACAATTTGAATAGTCCTATAACTAGTAAGGAAGTTGAATCAGTAATCAGAAACCTCCCAACAAAGGAAAGCCCTGAACCAGATGGCTTCACTGATGAATTCTACCAACATTTAAAGAAGAATTAACATGAGTCCTTCTCAAACTCTTTCAAAAACTTGCACAGGAGGGAACACTTCCTAACTCAATCTAAGTGGCCAACATTACCCTAATACCAAAGCCATAGATACTATAAGAAACAAAAATCTACAGACTAATATCTTCTTTGATGAATATTGATGAAAAATCCTCAACAAAATACTAGCAAACCAAATTCAGCAGCATATTAAAAGGATTATACATTCTGACCAATGGGATTTGTTCCTGGAATGCAAATATAACTTAACATATGTTAAATAGCTTGTTCTAATGGATACATCAGTAACTTGAATACCCAACAGCTGCAGGATACATTTTCTTTTCGAGCATACCAAAACATTTACAAAAAATGACCATATCATTTTGCTACTCAGTCTCCTGTGGAGTTATAAATGGTATGGACACTAGGTTGAATGGTATTAATCAAAGACATTCTGGAGCTTTCTGTTTGGGTAAATTTATTTTCTTCATACATGTTAAGTGTAGATTGTATAGTTGAAACATACTAACTTTTTGACTAGTAAATTATATAGAGAGAATCTCATTTAATTCTCACACAACCTTATATCTTAGAAGCACTGCCTATTACATAAGTGATAAAGAATTGCTAACTATTAATATTAATGATATTAATATTATCATTATTATTTTTACTGTTATCTCCTTCCTTAAACTTATTACACAAGTATGAGAGCTGTATTGGGAGTTAGGAGATCTAGATTCTAGTCTAGCTCTCAATTACTTAACTTTATAACCTTAAATAATTCTCTTAATCTTTCTGAGCATTAGTATAATCACTAAGACAGAGGGCTTTAATCTAGGTGATATCTAACTTCCATTTTAGGTCTAAGATCCTATGCATTTATAAATCCTGGCTCATTTGGGTTGCTAATTTCATAGAAAACTACCACCAAATTTGATAATTTTTGGTGTTTATTACCAAAATTTATTAATGCCAACTTGTACTTCTGCATTGACTTTATAAATTAATTTGGACTCTTTAATTCATATTTATTGCTTAATTCATAGATTTGGACTAATTCATCTCGTCATTGCTTAGTAGAGCAAGAATTCAGAGTGCTACACTAGGACTTTACCATAGTATTGACATTATCATCTGTAGATTTCTTTCATTTTACAACATACTTTGTTTTCAGTTTAGCTATCATGTCACAGCTTTACTAGTTCTGTCTAAGGCTGTCTCATCCCAGTAATTGATTTAATTTCATACTGAGTTACTAATAATGAAAGAATTGGAATGGTTATAGAACAATAGAAGGTAACTAAATCATTGATTGCCTTCTGCATGCCAAGAACTATGCAAGAACTTTCATTAATTCATCAAACGTTTGTGTGCTTTCTGTGTGTGAGGCACTGTGTTGAGAGCTTGAAATAGAAAGTCAAACAAAACATGATCCTTGTCATTATTTAATTTTACTATACTAGTTTAAGGTATGTATACATTACCTACATTTGGCAAATGAGGAAACTAGGACTTAATTAACTTGCCCATGGTAATGCAGCTAATGAATAATGGAGCCAGCATTCAAATTGAGGTCTGCATGATGCCAGAACCCATGCTCCTTCCATTATAGTGACTGCTTTGCCCTTTAAGATAAAATTACTGAATTATGCAAACAAAATCCAATTTTAAATTATAATATTAGTGATTTTAATTCTATACACATTTTATTTTTTTAAGCCTGACAGAGAAAATCAAGATTCCTTGTTTGATAGAATTTCAGAAAGTTATGTGACACTTTTCATGAGCATACCTGTAAGTCAAAAGGATGCGTTCTTTCAGGTAAATATAGAAATTAACTGATTATGCTAATTATTTTTAGAGCAATTGAATTAGAAAATAGTTACTTTATTTAAACACATATGAGAACAGCTTTTGTTACTTTGAAAGCAAAATTGCCTGAAGTAGAGTAAATAATGGTAATATTTAAAAAGTTATACCTCCCACACCAGAATATTCTATTCCCTTGACTAAAAGTCTTACAGAATCCCCTTAGTGTGGTATAGATATTTTGTTTGCATATTAATAATTTGAAAACTATTGACTTATCCTATATATATTCTTATTTTTTCTGTATATATACAAAATTATTTATCATTTTTCTTTTACTTTATATCATTTGAACTGTTTAAGAGGACTTAACAAGTTTGTTATGCCTAAGGACTAAGCACCCCGTTACAATAAAGAGCAATCGACAAATTTATGAATCAAATGCTTGTTTTACTCTTCTGTTATACTAACCAATGAATAGAGTTGATTGAAATTATTTATGTTCTTAAATAATGTGAAATGAATATGCATAGGAATTTCATTGGGTATTTTTAAGTTTAAACATCTAGCATTTCAAAGCAGAAGTCACGTTCAAATTCTTTGTTGTGTTGACATCTGTAAATCAGAATATATAAGTATTTTGGAGTCAGTAGTTATTTTCATTGGTGAAACAAACCTAAAATAAAACAATTAAATGTCCTTTACAATAAAAACATAAACCTAAATTGCCAAATATTTATATTCAATCTTGACCTATCTTACTCACAAACATATCCATACAATGTTGTAGAAGGAAACCAGTAGTGGACTGGGAATAAGGAGACTTGGCTTCATGTCCAGAATCTGCTACTAATTACCTGGGTGATCTTGGCCAGACAGTGTCTCAGTTCCACAGATGGGTTGTCTCAGATGAGAGGTCAGATCCATGATTCATAAATTGTTGTTTCGTAGAATAATGGTGTTCTGAAAGATAGACTAGGATTTTCTCTGCTAACATTTTTTTCTTCTTTGCAGGAAAAAGTTAGTTAATGGTTAGGATTTTTGGTGATTAAATTGTCTAGAGATGACAAAAACTGCTGTTTTTCCTATCCAAAATCTTTCACGTAGTCTATCCTTTTGTGGTGAGTGTGCTTAGCCTTCCTTGATGGTTTGATGAAATCAAGCATGCTTTAACACATGCTTCAAGGGCTCCTGAGAAAAGGATAAGAATCCTAGTTAATGTGGACAAAGAAGGAGGTAGTGGCACCATTGCATAACCCCCCTTCTCAAATTTCTAGTTCTACATTTATGGTCCAAACGTTCTCCCCTGGAATGGTTGTGCTTTTTGATAGATATTATATTTATAACCTTTCACAAATCATGACTTGATTTTTTCTGGGTCTCTATTTTCAGTGGCTTTTTCCCAGGAGAAATTAGAAGTTGTTTAGTCAAGATTCAAAGTCTCATTTGAGAACAAACAAGATGTACACCATAGTGATTTGACCCCTTGACCTGTGTTCAGTCTTCTTTTAATGTTCCCGCTCCCTGTTTCTAAGCTTGAGAATCAGGCCACCTCCCTACAGGTCTATCCCCTCCAGATCTGTTTAAGTAGAAGTAGAACCTCATCTTTCATTGACCAATGTCCATTATTTTTAGCTCATTCAACTAAGTGGGGATTTTGTTACTATTGGCTCATTTGATTTATCTTACCTAAGGAAGAGAAATTTATTAATATTAAAGAATCAAAAAATTATCTTCAGGTCCTGCTGTTCAATACAAATTAACAGAATCTAAACATATTTAATATGGCTTTTTCTTCCCTTTCCTCCAATGTCATATAATGATATTCCTTCAGAAATCTTCCCACCACACTTGATCTCTTTTTCCTTTAATCTCCTGAGGGTGAGATATTCACAGAAAACTTTTAGAAGTTCTACTTATTCACCTTGTTCAACATTTTGATTTTGATCATTAGTATGATTTTATATACTACAAATATAGTATGTGATTGTTTCTGGTAGTAAAAATCTTTATGGTTCATTCAGTAAAATTAAATATATCAATATATTAAAGCATTTTCTGCACACCTTACCCCTCCCCACAAAAAATCATGGAGTTCTTCAAAGAATACCATCACGTACCAGCAAATTTGAGCACTACTGGATTAGGTGACTGTATTAGTTTCCTATTGCTGCTATAACAATTTATCACAAATTTAGTGGCTTAAAATAACTGAAATTCATTGTCTTACAGTTATAGAAGCCAGAAGTCCAAAAAGAGTCTTATGGGGCTAAAACCAAGGTATCAACAGGGCTAGTTTCTTTAAGAGGCCCCCGGGGAAGAATCCGTTCCTTGCCTCTTCCAGCTTCGGGTGGCTGCCAGCATTCCTTGGCTTCTGGTCTCATCACTCCAGTTTCTGTTTCTGCCATCTCATTGCCTTCTCCTGTTCTATAGTAAAATTTTGCGCAGCCTCCCTCCTACAAGGACACTTGTGATTACAATAGATTGCAATTAAGGCCTACTGGATAATCCAAGATAATCTCCCCATCTCAAGATCCTTAACTTAATGATAACTGCAAAGCCCTTTTGCTGTATAAATTAATGTTTACAGGTCCCAGGAATTAGGACATGGACCTCTAAGGACTCTTTCAATTAAAATATTTTATTATTAATTATTAAACATTATTAAGGGCTAAATGTGTGACTGTAAATATTTATCTGAATGCAGAATACCAAAATAGTAAATAAAAAAGTTTTAAATCTTTAATATAAAAATATGGTATCTTTCTATGTTTAGTCACTCTTTGAGAGGAATTTAGTAGTTTCAGGATTTTAAGTCTAAGAATGCTGGTAGTACCATCTATTTGTTGATTTCTGGTCATAGTCTTAATACGTAAACAATACAGTAGTAGTTAAAATATATTAACTCACCTAGACAGGCTTCAATTATTTAAAAATATGCTTTTTATTCTCACCACAAAAAATTATAATTATGTGGCATAGAGGTATTAGCTAACACTATAGTGGTAATCATTGTAATATATAAATGTATCAAATCAACACGGTGTACACCTGAAACTTGCACAATGTTATATGTCAATTATATTTCAATTAAAAAAATATGTATATACTTTTTATTATAATGACCTGTGTGTGTCACTTTCTAAAACAGAATAACAATAGCAAGGTTAAATGAAATAAATCTGTAATCGTCAAATCTTACCTTAATTGTTAACTTCATCCTTTATCCAAATTAAACTTTCCAAAATGTTAACAAATAGCCAAGTTGATTGACTTTATTTTCAAATTTTCTTTGTTTGTGACTCTCAATTAGAGGTACAAAGAAGTAATAAATGGCCAAAAGAAAATTATAGGAAAAAAGGGATGCGTATATTTCACAAACTTAATAATAATTTCTTTGGTAGTTGTGATGTTATGTAAAATATGGAATTATTCTAATATGACTCCATTTTTGGTAGATTTATCCTGATTGCTTGGCACAAGCTATCTATGCAACATTCCAGGAAGCATTTCCAGAATCCAGTAATCTCTTTAATGATGAATTTAAAGAAGATCTAGGGAATAACATTTTTCTTTGGTTGTCAGGTATGAATATGTCACTCATGTATTGATCATTATTTTGGTATCTAAAACCAAATTGGATTTGGTATTTTGGATTACAGTATTTTGTTTACTTCAGTCAAAAAAATTGGTAGTTCTTTGCCTTACAACACCATATTGATGCCTATGTTTTAAAATAATAATGATCATTTATTCTGAAAATTTTATTATACCAAAATTTATTGCTTATTAACTTTAGAAGCCAAATAACTTTTATGGGCAGTGGAATTATTATAGAAAATTGAATTACCACAGAAATGAAGTCATACCATATATATTTTATATTTGAAAGATAAATATTTTAATCTGCTTTCGGAACACTACTGACATTTTTCTAGCAAATAATATTGGGTAAATTCTGGAGCTAATTGAATTTCTCATAGAACGTACAATCAATCATTAATCAAGGAAAACTTATTTTTCAAATCATGGTATATGTGCCAGTGGGAGTGGTAGGACTGAAAGGTTGAAGAGAAGGAAAATTCTATCCTAGAGCATTTAGCTAGAGATTTAGATACTTGGGGTGAAAACTAAAGGTATAGTTTCATATTCTTGAAATGACCTCCCCAACATTTTTTTCTAAAACTATTATACTATTATGGATTACCAAAAGATAGCTATTGACTGTTTTCAAGTAATTCTTGTAAATTTCCAACCCAAATTTTGACTGATTTTTGAAACTGTTTTGTGTCAATTCTTAGTAACCAAGTCATTTCTTTGTGTGTGTGTGTGTGTGTGTGTGTGAGGAAGATCGGCCCTGAGCTAACATCTGCCAATCCTCCTCTTTTTGCTGAGGAAGACTGGCCCTGGGCTAACATCCATGCCCATCTTCCTCCACTTTATATGGGACGCCGCCACAGCATGGCTGGACAAGCGGTACGTCAGTGCGCGTCCAGGATCCAAACCGGCGAACTCCGGGCCGCCGCAGCAGAGCGCACGCACTTAACTGCTTGTGCCACTGGGCCGGCCCCCCAAGTCATTTCTGTAAGAAAATATTTCATATTTTGAGGAGGGAGCCCTTGAGAGGTAAAGACTGGAAAACAACCCTGAGAAACTCCCTCATCCATACATACACCGATAAGAGTCACCTTACAAAGAAAAATCCAACTAATTCAAATACAAGAAACAAAAAGTGAATGAGCACAGTATTTATTAAAAAATACTGTAAGGAAAAATGTGATAAAGAACAGAACAATTTTCCTACAGACCTGTTCTAGACTGGATTGTGTCCCCCCAAAATTCATGCGTTGAAGTCCTAAACCTCAGTACATCTCAGAATGTGACTGTTTTTGGATATAGGACCTTTCAAGAGGTAATTAAGGTTAAATGAGGTCATATGAGTGAGCCCTAGTCTAATATGACTGGTGTCCTTATACAAGGAGAGGGAGACACCAGGAATGTGCACGCACAAAGAACTCAGCAAGAAGTCAACCACCTGCAAGCCAAGGAGAGAGGCCTCTGGAGAAACCAAACCTGCTGACACCCTGATCTTGGACATCCAGCCCCCAGGGCTGTGATAAAATAAATTTCTGTGTTTAAGTCCTCCAGTCTGTAGTATTTTGTTATGGCAGCCCTAGCAAACTAATACAGATTCTAAAGCTCAACAGACGGGGCCAGC